CTCTTCTGCCAGATCTTCCTGGATTCGCCGGATCCCCACGTGGTGGCGGTCACCGGCCCCTAGTGCCGACTGCAGGCTGGGGCGCCTGAGCTCCTGCTCTTGCCGCTCTCCCACACTCTGCGACGCGGCCTCAGGTTCCGGGAGCGCGAGATCAGAACCTAAGGTGTCCCGAGGGCTGGACCCCTTAACGGTGTATGTAGAACTCACGCAGTGTCATTTCTGCCACGTTATGTTGGTCAGAACAAGTCACAAGGCCAGCCACGATTTCAGAGGTTGCGGGAATAGTCCCCACCTGCCTCTGGACAGGAGGCACAGCAGTGTCACCGCTGTGAGGTGTGTGTGTGTGTGTGTGTGTCCCCAAATTCCTATGTTGAACCTCGTGCCCGACATGATAATACTCGGTGGCAGGCCCTCTGGGAGGTGCTTAGGTCCCGCGGGTGGAGACCTCTTGCCAGGGCTCTTGTAGAAGGGACCCCGGAGGGCTCCCTTGCCCCTTCTGCCACGTGAGGACACGGCGGGAAGGTGGCCATCTGCGAATGGCCGGCTCTCCTCGGACACCAGTCTGCTGGCACCTCGATCTTGGACTTCGGGCCGCTAGAACCGTGAGAAATACGTTTCTGTGGCCCGTAAGCCGCCTCTTCGGTGCTTTTCTGTGACGGCGACCCAGAGGGACCAGGACGGTCAGGCTGCAAAGAGGCGTGGACGTGGGAGCGCAGTTCACTCGGGGCTCCAGCGGCCCGTCTGCTTCAGCTGCCACAGCCCTGCACTGTCCGAGTGGGCCCTGTCATCACAGGTGTCCCTAGACTAGGGAGGCCGCGAGAGATTTCACTACAAGGAGGAAGTACATGTGACAACAGAGGCTTAGGTGTGAGTGAGGCGAGGACTGCCAGCTACGTTCGGGAGGGAGAAGGGCCACAAGCAGGTTGTTGCCTCGGGTGTCCCGAAAGACCGTTGCGGGCGGCACCTTGGCTTTGGCCCAATGACCCTGCCGTCAGACCTCTGGACCCCAGAACTCTAGGAGAACAAAGTGGGGTGGTTGTGTTTTGGGGATTTTTTGAGCGGCTACAGTTGTCCTAATTTGTCACAGCAGCCAGAGGAAAGTGACCCCCTCTGCCGCCACACCATCCCATAGCGTGGGGGGTCCACGGGGGTTTCCAGGGGCTGGGCCCAGAACCCGCCGCTCCGCACCCATGTCCGAGTGAAGCCGAGAGCCATCCTGTAGCGACACCTGCCCGGTTGGTAAGGAAGAAGGGCATGGGGGTGGGGGGGTGCGTCACAGCTCCAGTCTCTGCCACACCCTCGGAGGCATTGGGCCTTCTTGGTGATGCAGACACCGGGTGCTTCCCCATGCCCGGCTGCAGTGACCTTTCCAGTCTTCTTGTACACACGGGGCGGGGAGGGGGGTGGCTCAGGCCCATTTTGAGCGTGGCTGTTGTACGTCTGTGCTTTGCAAACGTGTGTTGTGTCTGCAGTTGCCATGGAGCCAGCCAGTCCCTGCCTCCTGCAGGACAGGAGCCCTGCGTCAGAGGGGGCAGCGGTCGCCTCTTTTCACCCGGGAGTCTCCCGGAGGCTTGCTCGGTTCTCCACCCAGCAGCCAGAGCCCTCACTGGGCGTCACAAACGCTCATGCCGCCCTCCTGCCGCAAAATCTCCCGGAAGCCTGGGTTGTCCTCGTCGGAAAAGTGGAAGCAAGGACACTCGCCTTGCTGAGAGGACGTAGCAGCTTTTGGGGGGGGGGGGAGTGGGAGTGACTGCTCATGAGCTGGGTTTTGTTGGGGATGAGAACGTCCAGGGTGCCTGGGTGGCTCAGTTGGTTGGGCTCAGGTCATGATCTCGCAGTTGGTGGGTTCGAGCCCCACATCGGGCTCTGTGCTGACAGCTCGGAGCCTGGAGCCTGCTTCCGGTTCTGTGTCCCCCCTCTCCCTCTGCCCCTCCCCGGCTCGTGCTCTGTCTCTCAAAAATAAATGTTAAAAAAAAAAAATTAAGAACAAAAAGCCAATGTCCTAAAATTCTCTTGTGGTCACGGTCGTTATCAGCCTGTGACTATACTAAAAACTACGGGATTACAGCAACAATATATTGGGACTTCCTCAAGATAAAAAGCTTCTGCACAGCAAAAGGAAACAATCAACAAAACGAAAAGGCAGCCTACAGAAGATATTTGCAAATGACACCTCTCATAGAGAGTATCTAAAATACACGAAAAACTTGTAAAACTCAACACCCAAAAAACAAATAACCCAGTTACAAAATGTGCGGAAGACTTGGCCAGACACTTCTCCAAAGAAGACAAAACAGATGGCCAACGGACACATGAGAAGATGCTCAGCATCGCTCATTGTCAGGGAAAGACAAAGCAAAACCACAATGAGATGTCACCTCACACCTGTCACAGTGGCTAAACTCAACAACACAAGAAACAGCAGGTGCGGGTGGGAATGCAAACCAACGCAGCCATTCTGGAAAACAGTGTGGAGGTTCCTCAGAGAGTTAAAAAAAAAATAGAACTACCCGGGGCGCCTGGGTGGCTCAGTTGGTTGAGAGTCCGGCTTCGGCTCAGGTCATGATCTTGTGGTTCGTGAGTTCAGGCGCCACGTCGGGCTCTGTGCTGATGGCTCGGAGTCTGGAGCCTGCTTCCGATTCTGTCTCCCTCTCTCTCTGCCTTTCCCTGCTCACGCTCTCTTTCTCTTTCTCTCTCTCTCAAAAATAAATAAAAAAAGATAAAGCTACCCTACAGTCTAGCAATCACGTTAGTGGGTATTGACCCAAAAAGTACAAAAACACTAATTCGAAGGGATGCATGCATCCTTCTGTTTATTGCAGCGCTATATACAACGGCCAAGATAAGGAAGCAGCCCAGGTGTCCACCGACTGATGAATGAATAAAGATGCGGTGTATATACAGCGGAATATTATTCAGTCATCAGAAAGAATGAAATCCTGCCATTTCCAACAACGTGGATGGAACTAGAGCGTATTATGCTAAGCGAAATAAGGCAAAGAAAGACAAATACCATATGATTTCACTCATGTGGAATTTAAGAAACAAATGAGCAAAGGGGGCGGAGAGAGAGAAAGCCAAGAAACAGACGTTTAACTCTAGGGAACAAACTCGAGGGTTGATGGAGGGAGGTGGGTCAGAGATGGGCTAAACGGGTAGGGGGAGATTCAGGGGGGGTACTTGTGATGAGCACTCGGTGTTCTCTGTAGGCGATGAATCGCTATATTGCACACCTGAAACTGATATTGCACTGAATGTTAATTAGAATCTGAATAAAAACTTAAAAAAAACCACTTGTACTTCAAAAAAAAAATTTTTTTTTAATGTTTTTATTTTATTTTCAAGACAGAGAGAGACAGAGCATGAGTGGGGATGGGGCAGAGAGAGAGACACAGAATCCGAAGCAGGCTCCAGGCTCCGAGCCGTCAGCACAGAGCCCGACGCGGGGCTCCAACTCACGGGTTGTTAGACCATGACCTGAGCCGAAGTCGGAGGCTCAACCGACTGAGCCCCTCAGGCGCCCCAAGAGAATTTAACTTCCTAAATGTCTGTTGTATCTACTCCCTTTTCTCCATCTTACCTGCCACCACCCGTTTGCCTGAACTGGCTGTACTACGCTCCTTCCTGGCCCTCTTCCCATCCATTCCCCACACTGCAGCCAGAGGGATCTCATTACAATTCAAACTTTATGATGTCTCGTCTATGCTTAACTTTAAGGACTTCCCATTTATTTTAGAATCAAGATCAAGGTCCTTGTGTGCCCTGCCAGCCTCTGCATGACCTGGGTCCGCCTTCCCCCACTGTCCTGCTTCATCACCATGCTTCTGCTACACTGAACTTTCTTCCGTTCCTCTGCCTCAGGGCCTTTGCACATGCTGTTTTCTCTACCTGGAAAATTCTACCCTCCTTCCTTCTACTTGGCCTTCAGATCTTGGCACAAATGTTAATTGCTCAGAGACTCCTTCTCTGATCTCCTGGGTGAGTCCAGGTCCCACCTTTTCTCCAAAACGATTTCACAACACCTTTGCCTTCTTTATAGCATTTATTCTGTTTCTTAGTTATCTGTCTGCGTGATTATGCCTGACTTCCTTTCTAGGCTGAAGGACCCTGCGGCCCAGGTCCATGTTTAATCTGCCGAACTTCTCTTGATACATCTGTGGCCTTCTCTGGATGCACAGGAGGGTGGGTCGGTGGAAGATCAGGTGACCCACTAAGGATGGGCGGGTGGAGGGGCGAAGAAATGGTGCGTGGACGGACAGATCATAGCTGTCTGATGGATGGGTGGATGGAAGGATGGATGGGTAGATGGATGAAGGGCGGACGGCTGGGTGAGTGGGTGAACGGAGGGTGGGTGGAGGGGCGGATGATGAGCGTGCTCCTTCGCTCGCCTGGCGCACGTTCCTTCCCCCCGGGCCGGGAGACCTGGAATCCTCACCCGATCGCAGTCCGAGCGGGCGCCCCGCGGCACTTCCTCCCGGCCGAGTGCACTTCAGGCCTGTCGGGCGGCCCGCACCCGGGCGGAGCTCGCGTCGGCGCCGGCGGAGGGCGCGGCCCGGGCCACGTGGGCGCGGGAGGCCGCTCCCGGCCGTGGGGT